AGAGCAGGTTAATCATCAGTTAGAGTCTTTTACTATGACGTATGAGACACATCAGCTTCAATGAAGACTTTAGAGATTGATCATTGAACTGATTCATTGAAATGGTTAAACAAACTTGTTAGATTCCTGCCAACTTCTGTTTGTTTCAAAGAATCAATTCGGGGAAATTTTGAGAGGGAATTTTGAATTGATTCTTTGAAATGGATATTTTGAACCCATCTAGAGAAATGATTCAAACTAGCTTAGAGTCAGTTTGTTCCATTCCTGTGAATTTCTGTCCATAGTAATTGAATCTTTAAAACGGACAGTTTGAGTCCATCCACAGAAATAATTTAAACAAACTTGTTAGAGTCTGTATGATTCATTCTTGTGAATTTCTGTTCATTTCAATGAATCAATTCTGAGATTTTTGAGATAGAATTTTGAATTGATTCTTTAAAATAGACCGTTTGAACCCATCCACACAAATGATTCGAGTTGGTTTGATTCATTCCTGCGTATTTCTGACCATTTTAATGAATCAGTTCAGAGATTTTTTGAGATTTTAAATTGATTCTATCCACAGAAATTAATCAAACAAACTTCATGTTAAAGTTGGTTTGATTTATTCTTGTGAATTCAGTCTACTTCAATTAATTGATTCAGAGACTTCGGAGATTGAGTTTTGAATTGATTCTTGACAGCTTGAACCTACAGACACAAATGAATCAAACAAACTACTTAGAGTCTGTTTGCTTAATTTCTGTCCATTTCTGTCCATTTCAATGAATCAATTCTTAGATTTCTGTGATCTTATTTTGAATTGATTCTTTGAAATGGACCGTTTGAACCCATCCACAGAAATGAATCAAAATAACTTGTTAAAATGAGTCAATTTGGTTGATTCCTGTGAATTTCGGTCCAATTCAATGAATAAAGTCAAAGACTTTTGATATGATTCCTTGACAGGTTGAACCCATCCACACAAATGATTTGAACAAACTTGATAGACTTGAATGTCTTTAATTTTAATGAATCAAATCAGAGATTTTTTTTTGATTGACTTTTGAATTGATTCTTTGAATGGGACATTCTGAACCCTTCAACAGAAATGATTCAAAAAAGCGTTTTTATCACTGAAGTTTAAATGAGAAGCACTAATAAATCTCTTTCTGAACAAGTGCAGTAAAAAGTGCATTAAAATCACTCTGTCCATTTCTGTCCATTTCAATGAATCAATTCTTAGATTTCTGTGATCTTATTTTGAATTGATTCTTTGAAATGGACCGTTTGAACCCATCCACAGAAATGAATCAAAATAACTTGTTAAAATGAGTCAATTTGGTTGATTCCTGTGAATTTCGGTCCAATTCAATGAATAAAGTCAAAGACTTTTGATATGATTCCTTGACAGGTTGAACCCATCCACACAAATGATTTGAACAAACTTGATAGACTTGAATGTCTTTAATTTTAATGAATCAAATCAGAGATTTTTTTTTGATTGACTTTTGAATTGATTCTTTGAACGGGACATTCTGAACCCTTCAACAGAAATGATTCAAAAAAGCGTTTTTATCACTGAAGTTTAAATGAGAGGCACTAATAAATCTCTGTCTGAACAAGTGCAGTAAAAAGTGCATTAAAATCACTGCAATATTCAAATGTATGGTGTGAACACAATTACTGACACATGTATGCCATGAGGCATGTACTTCTTTGCTGTTGTTAATCACTGAGGTTAGGGCTGTCAAACTGTCAGGTTATGAAAAATGCCAGAAAATAGCAGCATTGTGTGGTCGGAGAATGAGACAAAACTCTTGCTAGCTGCTCAAGTGGAGGAGAAAGAGCAAAAAATGACCGGCCTAGATATATAAAAGACAATCTGGACATCTGACACTCCTATAAGTCACTGTATAATCCGAACGCGTCACGCAGATGTTATGCATGTCACTAACCGCGACTCTCAGCTGTTAGTTAATACAGCTGTCAATCACAAAAGCCTCTGCTTCTGCACCTTCAACGCCCACCAATGATGTCACAGTCCCGCAGGGAACGGCCCGTCAAAACCCATCAGTCCCACCGCGGCGCTGTCTCGCTGCCAAACACGACAAAAACAACAGCAGCTCTCCACCTCGCGAGGAGCTGGACGTGTTTCCCTATCGCTGTCTCCTTCAGAAACAAAAACAAAGGCTGTGTTTTTTCAGGGAACGTCTTTGATCAGCCAACAGTCACTTCTGTGTCCAAGTCTATAATTACCCCACATTTGCAGCTCCTGCTGTTTCGCTCCTTTCACTCAACGTGCTTTAATCTGAAGTGCAAGACTTTCACGAAGAGTTCAAGAAAAATTAAAATATGTCATGTCGTTCCAAGCCCATATGCAACATGAAAAATTTTTTTTTTTTTAATAAACTGTCATTTTCCACACAATAGTGACTCTAAAAAGGACAAAAAGGAGCATAAAGTAGACGATTCATATGCACCGAGCATTTTATTTTAGTCTTCTGAAGTTATATAATATCTTTATGTGAGGAACAGGCACAAATTCTGACAAAAAGCTCTAAAATAAAATAGATTTCTTCATACAAAACTATCATATGACTTCAGAAGGTGCATTACTTTTTGTTGTCATTTTTGCAGCTAAATAGATGTTATGTTAAGCTGATAAAAATGCTAATTTTAAAGGGGTGGTTGATTGCGATTTCACTTTTTTTAACGTTAGTTAGTGTGTAATGTTGCTGTTTGAGCATAAACAGTATCTGCAAAGTTACGAAGCTGAAAGTTCAATGCAAACGGAGATATTTTAAAATTCTCTTTTAAATCTATAGTCTTTTAAAATTCTGGCAGTTTAATGCCTACAAAAACGGCTGGTAAGGACTACAACGAGCTACTTCCCGGGTTCATGACATCACAAACCCAGATAAACCCCGCCCCTGGGAACACGCAAGAAGGGGTCGAGGCCATGCTTTAGAGAAGACCAATGATGTCACAGTCCCGCAGGGAACGGCCCGTCAAAACCCATCAGTCCCACCGCGGCGCTGTCTCGCTGCCAAACACGACAAAAACAACAGCAGCTCTCCACCTCGCGAGGAGCTGGACGTGTCGCTGCACAGCCCTGTGAAAGCACACTCCCGTCTGTTTGTTTCAGCCGCTGTAATGATGATTTCTCGGTAGTGGGAATGTGGTCTTTGGCAGCGGGGCTCACCGCAAGTTGTTCCTTCTGTGGTACAGCTCCCGTCTGGGCTCTTGAGCGATTCCACCAAGATACAGGGAAAAAACCCTTACAGCCGAATAGTTCATTCTGAGACGCATTTCATGGGTTACTTTTATAAAAGCATAGCAAATCTAGTCTCAAAGACACCATTTTTGGGCCAAATTTTAAGGCAGCATTGCATGCATCCTTTAAGGAAAAAGCAATCCCATAATGTACTGCAACCATACAAAACAGATAAAAATAGTTCTAAAACAATTTTTCTATTTTCCGTTATTTTGTGCTGTGTATTTGTATCCTATGTCTTAGCAGCAAGCAAACTTGAGACACATTTCATGAGTCAATTTGAGTTTGATTCACGAGCTTGTGATTCCATTAAATTTCGATCTCATTTGGATATATAGGCGATCAAGTACAGTGCATGTCAAGGACAAAATATCTCTCTCAACTAACTACACAATAAACCCTGTCAGTTGGTGCATTACTAAATTAAAGTGATTTGTAAACAAACATTCAAAAATGTAATAAAATTAAATGTATCATAATTTATAACATATAACAAATATATATTTATTATATTTGTAACCAAACATTAAAAAAACGAAATAAAGAATTGCACGCAAGGAAATTTTTATTTTATAATAAAAATATTATAATTTATAATATCTTTATATATTTTTTATTTCATATAAATAAATTATAATTTATTATACTAACTTTTTAATGATATAATTATTTTTCTACTCCAGTTTATTGTTGAAATATAAACATTTAAACAGTGGATGTTATACCTGTGTTCATGATGGATTTATTCAAACATGCATTAGATATTGAAGAACATGTTAAGTTAAAATATAATCAATATGTAATATAGTGCATATATTTAGCAAAATGCTTCTTTCTAGAGTTCATTTTTCTAGCTAACTATTGCGTTTATGGTCACTGAATGGCTTTTCTGACATGACATTGTTTATAAGCTGTTTTATTGATGTCTTTCTGCAGTTAAAACACTGTTTAATTGAGTCCATGATTCATTTCAGTTTTTCTGTTTCTTTTAACACCTTCTGATGTTCATTCATGTTTATTTTGTGCCGTAACTAGTAGTAAAGAGCAAGAGATGATCAGTTCACGTGAGGCTACAGCAATCTGTCATGCCAAATTAAAGAGCACCGAAACCAAATTTATTGTTTGAATTTCATGATAAAATAGACAGAATTTGAAAGCTGGGACTTTGTTTCATATCAAAAGTAACAAAGCACAAGGATTATTGTGATTTGTTGAATGTGAGGCATTACAAATAATGTTTCATGAAGTTTTGTTCATGCATCAACTGAAAACAGCATAGATTGATTCTTGGAATTTAAAAATCGATATTGGTTCATTATATTTTCTTATGCATATGCTAAAGCCTTTGGAAAAATGGATTGAAATTAGTTGGGTTTTTCCAAGGGAAGTGTTTTTTGTATGTAGAACGGTCAGATATTGCGTTGGATTTCAGTTAGGATGCTGCTTTAGAAGACAGATGCGGATGTATTGCTAAATTTACACTGCAAAGGCAGCACAGAAGCGCTTCTGAAGTGGCATTTAGGCATCTTTACACACTGTTTATAATGCTGCTCAGAGGAGGCATAAATGCATTTACACAGCAATTACAACTGTATACTTTGATACTGGAGGCTGTCAGAGCAGGCATCTTTTAGTCTGGCTTTTATGCTGAATTTTGAGCAGGCACAGAGCAGCCTTAACTCACCTTATGATGGATAACCAGACAGATTCAGATGCAAATGCACAAAAAACAGCCATTTCTTACCTTATAATCTTTCAGATTGGTGTCATATCTTTCGCCGCCTTCAACTCCTCTTCTAGAAATAATGCCGTTCGCAACAAAACTATCCCCTGAAAGTGGATTTGAAAAGCATTAGGAAATGTTCTGCAACGTCCAAGCCATAAATAGTTAATGTATAACAAAAATAGACTCAAAATTGTGTCAAATGCAAAAGTCACCCTCAGGATTTTCCCGACGTTTGCAAGCTGCATCCCAATGACAAAGACAAAAATCTGAGTATTATTCATAACATAGTTATGCATGTGCATTTCAAGAGCATGCATAGATAGGATTGGCAAAATATGTGTCCAAATGATATATAAATGGATGGTTTTCCAATTATTATGACTATGTTTAATCGATGTTGTCCTAAAGATCTGATCATTAACTCCATAAGACCTCAGGAGGAATTTTTTAATATCGCAAATGACATTTTTCAGTATTTAGAGAAAAACGAAGCTACTTTCATGATGTAAGAATCATAATCTAATGACATTTCTAATCTCAGAACTTTTATTCTGCTGGTCTGACTGTCAGGGATGCATTCGATTCTATTTATAAACCAATAGAAAATTAATAATAATATTAAAAGGCTAACAAATAATAATATTCCAGCCTAATAACAAATGGAAAATTCTACCTTTCAACACTTAAAAAAAAAAAAAGTTAAGAAAAAGTAATTAAAAAAACAACACAAAAAGTTAAAAGCTATATTTAAATAGTAGAACAGACTAGATTAAAATCATGCTATAAGACAGAAAAGTTCCTTTAACTCAATAATCAGCAATAAACATACGCGTACACACATATTTAGCGATTATGTGACTGGTAGATGTGTAACTCACCATGTTTTGAGTGAAGTTTCCCCATTGTATCACTGCTGTGGTTAAGAGAACTTGTGCATCTCTCGGTCCAAGTTGAACATTATATCCATATATATTCAGAGGAATAAAAAAGACAAATCCCTCAGATTCAGGAAACACACGAGCGACTTTAATACAGAAGAGCGAAGAAAAGTGTCTGTCGGCGGAGCTCAAGAGATGATGGTCCGCTGCAGATGAAGATATGAAGCGAAGTGAAGTGCAGGAGAAAGGGGCACCTTCAGTTCAGTTCAGTTCAGTCCGGCCCCCTGCAGCGCCACTGCTGCCCCCTACAGGACATGTGTTAGAGAACTAACGCAGGCAACACACTACTTCCAGATATCAGCATACTTCATCAGTTGATTCATCGCAGTACATTAAGACAAGTTTTCTGAAATGTTATGTTTAAGTATGCAAATGAGGTGATATTAAATTAAATATGCACTAATTTTCAACATTTCCTGAACTGAAATCTGAACATTGGATAAAGCCAGGTTCATTTTGTTGATATTTTAGAATCAAAGGATTTTATGAAGGGGATTTTAAAAATCTTTTTTTTTTTTATAACTCCATAAATCTGAAAATACTATAAAATAAAATATGTATCAAGTGAATGATGTATGAATTGCAATACAACTGCAAAGTTTGGTGGAAGTGTTTTTTGTTTGTTTGGAGAAAAAAAAAATTATCAGTAAATAGTATCACATAAAATCTACAGATGCAAATAGATGAAGTGTAATAAAATAAATTAAATAAAACAAAATGATTGAATGAATAAACAAATGATTAAATAAATAAAACCAAAAAGTAGAATGAAATGAGTGAATAAATGAATAAATAAACAAAATAAAAAATAGAATGAATAGAAAATAATAGAATAAAGTGAAATTGCAAAAATAAATAATGAACGAGCAAATAAATTAATAAAAATAACAAAAAATAAATCAAATGAATGAATAAATAAATGAAATTGAATGTGCAAAACAAAAAAAACAAAAAAAACATGAATTTGGATGTTTTCTTTCCACTAGTTTGAAAGAAGACATGTTATGAAAGTAAAATAAGAAAAATAGCCCAAAATCTAAAAGTTGACCAGTGTATTAAAAAAAAAAATGCCTGTAATGTCTTGAAAAACACCAGACAACAGATATAGTGTTGATCATGAAGGCAGTCACTATATCTGTTGTCTGGTGTTTGAACATTTCAAACCTTTTTGTTGTCTGCTGTGAACTATTTGTCTGCTATTTGCTTGTGAACTTGAGGAGAACTGACTGACTGGATTCAAACACACCGAGCAAAATGATGAAGAAAAGTGATGTTAGTGAAGAGAAAAGATGCAGCTTGCAGCATTTCTCTCATATTTTCTCTAAAAGCTGCAGCATTTAGATTCAAATTACTTGCATGTCTAAACAATTCTTTGGGTCAATGTGGGGTCAGAAGTGTTCGGTATGAACCAAGTATCTCAACTTTCTAAATAAATCATAAAACAAAATGCAACATTTGTGCATTTTACTTTTCTTACATTGAAGAGGGGATGAAGAGCAACATCTAGAGTACAGAATAGAGATTTTGACTTGGACCAGAAAGAAACAACTTAGCACGTAGTCTGTACAAGTAGCCTAAACTGTCCCTTTTGGAGTTCTTTAAACACCAGCACAAGCTCAGGAAAGCATCTGGTGTACTTGAAGTGGAAGACTGACGTGACTAATGCAGACTGCAATGATTATGTTGCACTTGATGCATTAATATGAGAAAATTCAGAACAAATATGCAAATTCAGATTTGCAGCAGTACAATGGAAAAGATCAGGACTCCTCAGGCGCCGCTGATGACAGCTCATCTGAACCTCTGTTATTACTCTCTCCTCAACATGTTCATATTCTTCTCTGGGACTTCACAAACGATCCACCCACGCCAGCTTGTGGTTTAACGTCTCTGACGAGTTTCACAGCTGTTAAATCCAAAGCCAGCTCCTCCAGGGTCGCGTCTTTCTCTTTCCTGATGGGATCTTCACAGTTAGTAAGTCAGTCATTCAACGTGCTTTACACCAGACCTGAACTCAGGGATTTCAGCATTAGAATAGGGTCAGAGGTCTACAAAAAAAGCACAATGGCTTCTTAAAGCATTTCCTTCTCCTGTTGTGAGTGACTCATCTGTTTACAAAAACGCCATTATAATATTTCATCAGACTGTAATGACTTTCCATTTCAGCTGACGTCATTAATCTCTCTTTTCTCAAGTACCTGTCAGACAGAAACACTTTTAATCATTCAATTCGCTCAATTCCTAAACTACTGAAAACTAAAATTTCAGAGACAAAAGTTGAGTCTGAGAAGCTGAACTTGAGAACTTGTTTCACACTTTTTATTTAGACTTATAAATATCAGCCAATAATCATTTTCACATTAAGGCTAATAAACGATAAATGATAACCGATATTATAAATCTATACTACGTAAAGAAAATTGATACACTGTAAAAACTAAAATAAAGTTTTTATTTCTAATTAAATATCGGCCAATAAACAATCTTTTTCATATTAAGGCCAATAACCGATAAATGGCCGATATTATAAATCGACACTATTTAAAGAAAATTGATAGACTGTAAAAATTAAAGTAAATAGTTTTTATTTTGAATTAAATATTACGTATCAGCCAATAAATAATCATTTTCACATTAAGACCAATAACCAATAAATGGCCGATATTACATATTTATACTACTTAAAGAAAACTGATACAATCTAAAAACTAAGGTAAATTGTTTTTATTTAGAATTAAATATCAGCCAATAAATAATAATTTTTACATTAAAGGCACAATATGTAAGTTTTCGCCACTAGAGGGCGCGTATTGAAAACAAACAAAGAAACAAAGGCGTAGTTTGATGACGGCGTGACTGAGTGTGGAATCATGGGAGTTGTTGTCTTCATCCCCACAGCCGACGCAATCCGACGGGACTCGGGCAGAAATCATGTTCATGGCAGCCGATGCAATCCGACGGGACTCGGGCAGAAATCATGTTCATGGATGAGCTAATGATTTATTAACCTAGTAGAATGAAGCAGGGTGAGGCTGAAAGCCGTCGAAGCGAAACGAGGCGCTGAACGAGCGTGACAAAACCGGAAATCGAGGGGTTATGACACAATGACTGGATGGACACGGTCCGTGTCACTAGTTAAAATTGCTTATTTCTCTGGATTTAAACATTCTTCGAAACATTTGGGATAATGTAAGTACACAAGTCAGCAAAATATATAACACTGCTCTAGTGGTTTTTGGATATTTTAATAAACAAATCTTACATGTTGTGCCTTTAAGGGCAATAATCACTAAAAGGATGATATTATAAATCTATGCTATGCTGAAAAAAATGGTGTAGAAAAAATGTTCACTCAGAAATTACTAGTAAATTTCACAATTACAAAAACACAGTAACATTCAATCAAATGTAAAATTTGAAGAAAAAAGACTGAAATAGTATTTTTTTGTAACACTCACTCTAATAATCTGTTTTATGTACAACTTTGAAAACATGTTTACACCGCAGCAGCCAGAGCTGAATCTGCATGCAAGCGTTAGGAGTAGCTTAAAGATTCAACATCGTTACAGTGTCTTCAACATCCACCACACAGCGGCTCCAAAGAGTATTTGGACTCTTAAGACACAATTAAAAATGTATGAACGCCATTGCATAAATAAGTAAATATCAATCCAACCAGCATCTGCAAGCAAATCATAACCATAGGTGTATTTCATCACATTAACTATGAACTACTAACGTTTGTCATGCGTGACTGATATAGATATTCTCAAAGCTGATATTTTGAGAGCCTTTAAATTTATAATTATTTTAGGTAATACTTACAAAATTAGAAAAAAAGTAATCAATATGAAAAAAAAAATGAAACAAAAAAAAAACTTAATCGAACAAAGTAAATCTGTAAAATAAGATTTATACTTCATATAGCAACTTCTTGATTCTGCAATCAAATTACATTATTTTTCAAAAAAAAAAAAAAAAAAAAAAAAGTAAACACTAAAACTAACATAAATAGCTTAGAAGTTTAATAGAAATTTTAAATAAGTTAAGCAAAATTTTATTTTCTTGATTACAAAAAAACTTCAGCCAGTCAGCAGTTTTTTCAGAAAGTGCAAAACTCTAGTTGGCAATTCATACTTGCACGATCACCAAAGGAAAATTTTTTCACATGCAATTAGTTAGAGACAAAAAAAGAAAAACAAGAGATGAAAGCAAATTGCGTTTGCAATATCTGTTGCAATACTTAAGAGCGGAGAGAGATTTGCAATACTGATTTGCCAATAAGCAGCATAAATCATTCTTTTATTTCAAACAAAAGCTCATGTATCTCTCTTCAATCCTACAGAGCAGCCTTAAACGTCTCGTGTTATTAACTCTTCAACTAATGTATTACTATTGGCAGCTCCATTGATATTCCAGCGCTTGAGGCCAGAAACCCGAAAACTGTTGAGAAATTCAGCAGCATTATAGTGTTTGCTTTGTTTAGGAACTCGCTGGCAGTTTCCAACCACAAAAGTGGTATAAAACACTGCAACAATAAGGCTTTTGACAATTTTTTTTCTTCCTCCACTGATTAGATTCAAACAGCTGCATGTTTTTGGACGAGGAACTGTCAGGAAGAGAAAAAAGCCTGCAGACATTGCAATTATGGCTTTGTTTATCTAGTCTGCAGCCTGACATGTTGTAATCTCACATCATATCAGAGGAATGCCATACGGATACCTGCACAATGATGGCTCGCAGGTGTTTACCTGTTTGATCCAGTATCGGAGGGAGATGGTACTCATCAAGCATCTCTTTGTGATTATGGGATTCGCATAAAACAAATTCTCACAACTTGAACATTTCCAAACAGCACATCAAAGCAGGCCGCTTTAAATATGGTGTCAAACTGGTTTCTAAACGACAAAAGGTCAAACAACATGTGAGAAAGCTGACTCTGAATGAATGCATGTTATGCATTTTAGTTTTTGTTTTATACCTTAAATCTCTTCGAAATTAAACTAAACAACCAGTATCTGACAGGAACAAAATACGTCAATGTCACCCAATCAGTTGCATTAGAAACACTTCAAAAGTTTGAAAATACAACTTCGTACTGATCTCAATTACTTTTTAATTCATGTTTACAAAAAGCAGCTTGCGGTTTGAAAACCTTTGCTCCTAAACACTAGAATACGGAAATACATTTTACTGTAGCTTCTGATCACACTGCAAAAAAGTAATGTTCTCCTGCAGTATTTTAGTCTTGTTTTCCAGTGCAAATGTCTAAGATGCATTCACTTGAAAGGCAATATGACATAAGTCATCTTATTTTCTGTGTAATGTATCAAAATGAAGCGAGTTTATGTTTAAAACAAAAACAAATATCTGCCAATAGAGTCAGAAACATCAACTTAAATCAAACAAAAAAAAAGTAATTTTCATACCCATTGACAGATATTTGTTCTTGCTTTAAGCATAAACTCATTCCGTTTTGTTCAATTTCTCAGAAAACTTGACTTAATTTCTTCATTTTGCATCTCAAATAAATGCATCTTGATTTAAGGATATTTCGATATTTGTACTTGAAAACAAAAACACTGAGGAATGAATTTTTTGCAGTGCATGTAATATTTAATGCCATGACTTTCTGCTATGATTTAGGACCTTTTTAATGCTTTAAATTGTGGAAGGGCGATTTAAGACTTTTTAAGACCCCAAAAAATATTCAGGCTTTGCTCAGAAAGCCAGCAAAAATGCCAAATAAAATAAACATAAATCATAAAAAAAATTTGATTTGTACAAACCTCTTGCATGATGACAATGAGGACAGTGGATTGAAATCCAAATCAAAACTGAATGCATGTTAGCACACAAACCCGGTTTGTTTTTCAAATAGTTTCTAATATAACTAAGAACAGCTGTCTGAGTGTTGGTGCATCTGATAATATCTACAGTATTTGAGGCGTTTCATGCATGCTGTTTTTCATGCAGTAGCACCATTATGACACCTACTGGTTGCAATGTATAAATTACAGTGGATTAAACTAAAACATTTTAGGTCCAATTCAGAAAAAAAGATGCAAAAGGAGTGATTTTTTCTCTCATTTAATTAAATGATTTAAATATATACACATATAAAACTTGAACATAAAAAAAAAAAACTTTTTTTTTTTCATATGCAAATAGCAGCTGCTACATTGCACATTTCAAACATGGATTTTGGACACCACATCTTCAGCTTATGAATATCTTATGTTACGTAGCAGATGACTCATAGTCTCATAGATAAGTGCCGTTTTAAACTCTCAAACGTGAAATAAAACAACACTGGCTTGTTCTAGGACAACATTAGCAACATGTTCAGAGGATGAAGCTGGTGAACGGACTAGAAACGCTGAATTAGCAAACAAAACAAGAAGAAACCGTTATGATACAACAGCAGAACGTCAGTCGCTCAAACACAGTTGACCAAACTCGCCTGTTCCTGTCTCTGTTTGTCCACGGCGCGCTCCATCGCTTTCAGAAAACCCTCGACTGTCAATGTGGAGGACTGGAGACAGAAGAGTTGACGTGATCACAACAAACAAAGACTAAACTGCATATTTAAGCTCTGCTGTAAAAAAATAAACAGATGAAAGAAATCTGTGGTCTGTGATGCACATTGTATATTAATGCACCAACTTAAGTCAGGACACTGCAAGCTTGCTTTTGCACGCACTAGTCAATTTTTGAGATTTTGTACTATTTTGCTTCCATAGCATGTCTTCTTTCAGACTAGAGGAAAGAAAACATCCAAAATACACATTTAAGTATCTGTATAAGTGTCTTTAGATTTAAATTCCAATACATATCTTTAAATGCCATGGGATTTGTTCTCTAGAGTTTTTTTTTAATGTATATATACACATAACATTCACCTGGTTTATGCGACATTTTAATCCTAAAAACACGGTGTTGTTGTTTTTTGGCTGTTGACAGTATTTTCTGATTAATGGAGTGATGAATATGAGACATTCAAAATATCTTTAATTTTAATATCTCAACAAAATGAGACAAGAATTTTTAACTTGACTTTATCCTATGTTCAAATTTGTGCATATTGCATTAGATAATGCCTAGATTCATATTATTACCTGTACTGGGGCTAACACGTTACAAGTACTGCAAGTTGCGTAATCAGATTACTTTTTCCAAGAAACTAGTCAAGTAACACATTATTTTTTAATTTACAAGAAAATATCTAAGTTACTTTTTAAAATACGTAACGACAGTTACTTTGTTTTCCCAATTTCTTCCCATGTTGAGAGAAATTGAACTTTTTTTAATATTAAAAACAAACAAGCAAGCCCAGCCCAGATGGGAAAAAGAAAAAGAAAAAACGCAAAAGTAAAGTAACGCATTACTTTCCTTAAAAAGTAACTAAGTAACGCAATTAGGTATTTTTTAGATAGTAATGCAATATTGTAATTGTAAGTAACTTTCCCCAACACTGATTATTACAGAATTTTAATGGTCAAACAGTAACATTTCTTAAATGTGACTGTATTTGTACTGGTTGAAAAATATATATATTTTTTTATACATTTGTGTGCTGAATTATGTTGTGAATTCACTTACTGTATCCAAAAATAATGGTGAACTATTGCATATTTATATATAATTTATCTCTAAAAAAACTTGGTGATTTTTTTTGTGTGGCTGTCGACAGTATTTTCTGGAAGGATAAAAAGATGATATCCAAAATAAACACTAATATGTATAATAATGTGCTCTGGAAAAGTTCAATTAGATAATGCTTTGTTTGCATATTTAAACATAACACCTGAGAACACTTATGATACAAAACAATAGTCTTAATGTACTGTGATTAATCAACTTGCCTTGCTTGTCAACCATAAACCTGATGATAGAATTAGTCTAATGAACAATATTACTTATTGAAGAATTGTTTATTCTGATTATTATTAATAATAAATGCTGTTGCCATCCTTGCATCACAGCAATAACCCACTCAAGGTCATGCACTGCAGTGCTTTACCATGCTTTAATACTAAAAACATCACAAATAACATTCTACACAGACGAGTACCTTTCCATAGAGCGCATGAGCCAGAAATGGGATTTTCCTCAAGGCTCGTCCACTGAGTCCCACACTCCTCCTGTGCAGAAAGAGACACTCGTGAAGATCTATTCTCTGAGACTTTCAGTACTAGTTGCATTAAAAGCAAACACTCACTGGGCGAGGTTCCTCAGGGTTAAGCTCAGACGGGTCACGTCGCTCTCCATGAAGTTCATGGTGCCCAGTTCCTCCAAACTCAGCAGCTGCTGTCTGGGGTAGATGATGTGACGCTGCAGGGAAAGTTCAGATCGACACTGTTGTGTTCAGCAGAAGAACAGAAACGTTCAATAGTTAAAGGAACTGAAAACACGCTCACCTTCATGAGTTCCTCTAGACAGGACAGATAGATGTGGAATATGGCGCTGGCGCTCGGGGGGCCGATGTACTGCTTTATATCAGCTCTGTCCACAAAGGCCAGATCGATCTTTTCTGTGACGTTGGATGTGGTGAGGATGACAACATTTGGGTGCCTGAATCAGCGAAACACAAGGTTTGTATTAATTGCACATGAACCCATCCATTATATGATGTATTTCAACATGCATTTTGCATTAAAAGGAGGGCAAGATGGCATCAGACGGTGGAATAGGTTATTATATTATGATGAAAGACTACAAAAATAAACCTTTATTTATTGAAATATCCTTTACAATGAATCATGCACAATAAGAGCAAGAAGGTGCATTAAGTAACTAGTCATTCTGATTTCAAGCATGCCTCTGTAGATGAAAGTGAGCGGAGCAGAACAGATGAAGAGGAACTGACCGTTTGATCTGGTCGAGCTGGGTCAGAACTGAATTGACCACCCTAATAGCGTCAGATGGCTCTGTTCCTGCTTGAGCGGCGCTCCGCGAGGCTGTGAGACTCTCCACCTGACGAACACACATTATTAACCCTCAGAAACTCAGGGGAGCAGAACTGCAATGTTTGTATACAGCAAACTTTCACTAAATACACAGCTTGCTTAAGTCACAAAATGCACGATTTTTAACACTTTTAACACATTTATACATTTACAAAGAAATTGGTCGACATTTAATAATATTTTATTTTATTCCAATATTTTGTTATTACTTTTATTTATATTTTATTATTATATTATATAATATATATATATATATATATATATATATATATTATTTCTATATGTCTAGTGATGGAAAAAAAATAAATGCACTACAATTTTGAACATACAGAAATTTGAGACCATTTTTCGAATTGTACAAACAATGCAGCGCTGGGTCAAATTTTTTTTTCCTGTTTTTTTTCTGTTCGATGAATGGCACAAAAATGTAAATTTTTAGGCAGTTTTCCAAGCTCATTCATATAACAACAAATTAATTTTTTTGTATTAAATTACATTAAGTGGTATTGAAATTACTATATTCTATTTAAAATATGCTTTAATAATATCATTACAGTATTTCAATGGTCAAATAGCAAAATTTCTTAACTTTTCATGACTGTATTTTAAGTGGTTGAAATAAATTATTTTCCAAATAAATTTTTGTGCTCAATTGTGTTGTAAATTTAAAACTTTCACTTACTGGGTCTATAAAATTGTGGTGAAATATTGCATATTTATATTTTATTTACTTCTAAAAACATTGAGAAAATTTTTTCTGGTGATTTATAGAGTGATAGAAAGAGATATCTAAAATACTCTTACATGTCTAATATGTTCCGGAAATGTATGCACAAATTAGTGCATATTTAATAAGATAATGCCTCATTTGTGTAAATTTTGTTTAAACAAAAAAAATTGCGAAAACTTGTACTAAATACCCAGAGCTGCATTTTTCCAAATTATTTTGCTTATCAATTTTGCCTAAACAAAATGATTTTTATAACTAATGGTTTGTTAAAGGATGAAAAAACAATGAATATCAAAATATCAAAGCTGTTTTGGAAAAATTGTGCTGGAATTGAAACCAAGCAACCAATAAAAGTGATTTCACTCAGACTCAATTCTAATCAAACGATCATTCATTAAAGGATGTGAATTACAATGTTTCACCATGAGCTGCTTCGTTGTGCCACTATCACTGTAAAACAAGGGTTCTTGTGGTTTATCGCTTTTATTAACCAGTCTAAAGTGGTCTGATTATCTTAGCTGGTTTTGGGAGACCGGTCTGAACAGCTGTTATGTGCCCAAAACTCCTCTAAAACCATCAGTCTAGAGACCAGATTTAAGAGCCAACAAACCACCTTAGACTGGTTTAAGTGGTTTTGTTAAGCAAGGGTGAGTCAAATGCAACAAAATAAAAGACATGAGTGAACATTAATGATGTAAAAAACAGAGAACCTCATCTATCAGGACAAACACCAGGGCATCTTTATCATCGATGAGCTCCTGGATCTTCTGAAACATCTTTGTGACCAGTTTCCCGCTCTGTAAAAGCAGTCAGATGTTAATGAGGTTTCAGACACGGATCTGAGGAAGCGTTTCAGAGCAGACGGATCTAGAGACGGACCTCTGAGAACCACTTGGAGAAGAGGCTGTGGCTGTTGATCTCCACGAACTGGCTGTGTGCATACCTGTTTAGAGCGGAAACACACAAATAATGATGACACGGGACGCCCAGCAGCTGCCTTTTTGATTTTATGAAGGTGTCTCACCTGCCAGACAGTCTGATGGAGAGTTTCTGGGCAAGTCCTTTACACAGAGACGTCTTCCCTGTGCCAGGCGGCCCTGAGGGGTTAGGAAAGACACGCAACTGTATAAACATGGCAGAAGACAGAAACTGCTGAGCTTTCAAACAAGCTTTTATTGTCTTACCGTGAAGTAACACGACACGATTCCAGGCAATCAAATTGCTGTCGACGTTTCTGTCAGAGAAGAAAATTGTTGTCGAAACATAATCCAAGAGCTGGAGAGACAAAGTGAAGACAAAGGTCATGTTATGGGTTATATATGCTAGTGTAAAAAAATACAACATTTCAACAGATAGACAGGAATATGGACCAATGGGTGGTGATGGTCTAATAAATTGTTAAGCACTGTGTGTGTGTGTGTGTGTGTGTACTGTATATACACTACCGTTCATAAGTTTGGGATCAGTAAGACTTGTAATGTTTTTTAAAGAAGTCACTTCTGCTCATCAAGGCTGCATTTATTTGATCAAAAATACAAAAAAACAGTAATCTTACAAAATGTTATTACAATATAAAATAATGGTTTCTATTTTAATATCCTTTAAAATATAATTTGTTCATGTGATGC